CGGGGAAACAAAACAGCCACTGGCCAAAAGGATGGCCCAGCACAGAAGATCAACATCATCAGGCCTGGACTCTGCGGTCTACACTCATCTCCAGGCCAGCGGTCACTCTTTCAGGGATGAAGATGTGCACATCCTGGACAGAGAGGAACGATGGTTTGAGAGAGGAGTAAAGGAGGCCATCTTTGTGAAAAGAAACCGTCCATCGTTAAACAGGGGTGGAGGCCTCCGGGTTCAATTGTCCCCCTCTTACAATGCTGTGATTGCTAGTATCACTCAGCCCTCTGTGAATAGTAAACAGCCATCAGTGTGCTAATGATCCATTGTTAGGCTGATGGTCCTTCTTGAGCATGTGATCAGCTGGTTTTGGTTGTCAGCAGCAAAACTGGTTGATCCACTCTGAGAAGGTGCTTTTTAAGAGACTGAGCTGAATACAGCACCTCAGACTGAGGAAGTCTCTCGGATGAGAGACGAAACGTTTCTACATTTTTTGTTGTTTTGCTTTGTTTTGTTTTTTTGAATGTCCAGAGGACCAGATTTAACTTTTTTAGACCATTTTCTTTTGTTATTTTCAATTTGTATGCTTTCTTTTATGATTGTCTATTATTGCCTTTGTTGTCTACTGTTATCATCATTCTTTGTTAAACTCAGGTCTCTCTTGTAAATGAGTCCCCGAGGCTCAATGGAACTAACCTGTATAAATAAAGGTTGAATGAATGAATACCAAAACGTTCAGCTCTATAGCTTTTTGAAATATTTAGCCTTTTTGTGCCATTTTTTTCTCATAGAAAATTATGAGCTCATTTTACATCCTTCAGATCTTTAGATCTGTTTACAGCCTTTTACTGCTCTTTTCACATTTTGTTCTGCTTCAGCTTCTTTCAGCTTCCTAACAAACATTTTTTTCATCTTATTTCAACTGTTTTGTGCTCTTTTAAGGTTCTTTCTGCTAAGTACATTTTTGTGCTTCTTCTAACTACTTTCTGCTAATTTCAGCTTGTTATGCTCATTTCAGCTTATTTCTGCTTTTTCTGCTATTTTAGCTACTATTTAGCAGTTTTTATGCTAATTTAAGCTTTTTCACGTAATTCCACATTTTTTAAGTTCATTTAAACTTTTTTTAGCCTAATTAAGCAAAACTATGCTCTCTACACTTCCTTCTTGTATTTTCTGCTTCTTTCTGTCTTATTTTAGCTACTTTTTAGCTCTTTTTTTTGTTGTTGCAAATTTCTGCTTTTTTCAGATAATTTCCACTTTTTTGTGCTCATTTCTGCTTTTTTCAGCCTAATTGGGCAAATGTGCTCTTTCTGCTTTCTATAGCTAATTTAAGCATATTCTAACTTTTCACCTATCTTTTCAGCGTTTTTAGCAAATTTCAGCTGTTTTCAGATCAATTCATTTTTTTATGGTAATTTCTGCTATTTTCAGCCTACTTAAATTATTTCTGCTAATTTCAACTTGTTATGCTCCTTTCAACTTTTTCCTGCTAGTTTCAGCTTTTTCTGCTAGTCCAGCTACTTTTTAGCTGTTTTTTGATACATTTAGTTTTTTTTAACTAATTCCACTTTTTTAAAGATCATATCAGCTCTTCTGGTACTTTAGGTTCCTTTCTATTTTTCAGCTACTTTTCAGCTTTTTTAGCTAATTTCCTATTTTTTGTGCTAATTTCTGCTTATTTAAACCTAATTCAGCAAATATGTGTTTTTTCAGGTTTCTTCTTCTAACATTGGCTTGTTTATGTTTTTTTTTTCATTTCAGCTACATTTCAGCATATTTTTTAGCTAATTTCAGTTGTTTTTCAGCAAGTTCTTCTCCAATATGCATTCAATTCAATTCAGTTTATTTATATAGCGCCATATCACAACAAAGGTGTCTCAAGGCACTTTACAGGAACATTCACATACATAGAAATGCCAATTATTAAAGTTCTCTATCTAAGGAAGCTCCTTCATTCACACTGTATTTTTGCAGGAAATGCAAATTCCATCCATCCATCCATTATCTTTTACCCGCTTCTTCCATTGTTGTGTCACGGGGGTCGCCGGTGCCCATGTCCAGCGATCACTGTGCGAGAGGCGGGGTACACCCTGGACAGGTCGCAAGTCAATCACAGGAACACATAGAGACAAATGAGACAAACAACCATTCACTCTCTCACTCACACCTAGAGACAATTTAGAGTTACCAATCAGCCTAACATGCATGTTTTTGGTCTGTGGGAGAAAACCGGAATACCCGGAGAAAACCCACGCATGCTTGGAGAGAGCATGCAAACTCCACCCAGAAAGGTCCCCGGACCGGGATTTGAACCAGGGACCTGCTCGCTGCAAATCAGCAGCTCTACAAGTTGCACCACTGTGCTACCTACTTGACATCATATGGCATTAAATTAAATTCAAAGATTTGACCAAAAAGGCTACAATTTAAGATTAATTAGTTCAAAATGTGACTTTAAAGAAATGCTGGGCCTTTTATTTTCAGCCACTTTCTGCTTTTTGCATCAGTTTATTATTTTTTTCTGTCCTCTCACATCTGTCCTTCTCCACTCTGACAGGACTTCTCAGCCTATTTGGCCTTTTCAGGCATCGTTCTGCACAATGCACAGCTGTATGAGACTTCACAGCTGGAAAACAGGCGCAATCAGGTGGGTGGCATCATTTCTTTTTGTTAATTTGGGTCTGAGCACGTACAGATTTGTGTTCATTGAATTGTGTGCGTGCATGTGTGTGTGTGTGTGTGTGTGTGTTTGTGTGTGTGCATGTGCAGGTGTTGTTGGACCTTGCCAGTCTGATCTTTGAGGAGCAACAGTGTCTGGAGGTTTTACTGCGGAGGATCGCAGGAACTATCCTGTCCTTCATGCAGGCCCAGGCTTGCACCATCTTCATTGCTGATGATGACTCCATGGTTAGGACACACACACACACACACACACACACACACACGCACGCACGCACGCACGCACGCACACACACACACACACACACACACACACACACACACACATAAACTTTTAGTTATCCATGTTTAAAATGCGAGCCTTGGTCTGAGTTCACACTTGGTCTGAGTAACTTCCCGGAAGATGGCGTCGCTGTGCATGGCCTGCCCTCCACCTCTGTCTGCAGTGATAATGTTTTTTCTGTTTTTGTCATTTTTCACCTACAACATCGACTCATTGCTGGTTTATGAACGCCATCAACTCCTAAATCTCCGACTATCTGCCTCCAGTCTCGCTTTGTTTGATCATAATGATCGTAACTCTGGACCCCCTCTTGGACCCCCACCTCTGCTTGAAGACTTTCCTGTTTACCTCCACCCTGGTATCCTGCCCGCTCGAAGACATCGCTCCAGGTGCCGTGGAAAACGGGCCGGCCGTCTTGTGAGGATCAACCGAGGACCACATCTTAAATCACCTGTCCTGGTGCTGCGCCGATCCACCCGAGTCCTTCCCGGTCGGGTCGGGTCACGCTTCCACAGCGGACATGTTCGCCACGGCTGGGCTTCCGGTCGTTGGAGTCGCGGGTCGAACTCCACAAATCTGACACAGCTGGTCTTAACTTCATGGACAACTTCTCCTGCTGTGATTCCTACAAGGATTGCATTGATAAACACCAGGTCACTGGCTAATAAAACGTTTATCTTGAAGGACTTTTTCTCCTCCACCGGTCTGGACTTCTGCGTGACTGAGACATGGCTCTCCTGTGGTGAGTTCATGGCCCTGTCGGAAATTTTACCACCGGACTGTTCTTATTTTAATGCTCCGAGAATGTCAGGCAAAGGTGGTGGATTATTAACTATTTTCAAAAAACGTTGGAACTTCAAGCTGATTGGTTGAGTTTTCAACAGATGAGGAATAAATGCACAACTGCCATCAAAGCTGCAAAACGCAACTATTTATTATCTCAGACCTCCAAAAATCTAAATGACCCTAACAGATTCTGGAAAACCATCAAATCTCTCTCAGGCACCCCTCAATCATCTGATCTCCCATCTCAACTTCTCGTTAACTCTGTTCCTGTGTCAAACAAGCACGAGATCCTGAACTGTTTCAACAAACATTTTGTTGCTTCTAGTTCTTTATTTGACACAGTAACTAATGGAAAATCAGCCACTTCACTTAATAATCAAACTTCTACAAATCAAATCCTTCCTACAAGTCAATTCTCAGTTAATCACTTCTTCTCTTTTTCTCCATTCTCAGTTAGTGAGGTCAATAAACTGTTAAAAGATCTTGATCCTAAAAAATCTGCAGGACCAGATGAACTCCCACCTTATTTCTTAAGGCTGGCTGCTCATATCATCACAGTCCCTGTGACCCACATCTTTAATCTCTCCATGAGCCAAAACTCCATTCCAGATGCTTGGAAAACAGCCTTTGTTCTTCCTTTGCTGAAGGGAGGTGACCCCACCTCACTGAACAACTATCGACCAATCTCTAAACTCTGCATTTTAGCCAAGGTTCTAGAAAAACTGATAAACTCTCAAATGAAAAATTACCTGGACTCATTTAACATCTTACCTCTCCATCAATCTGGTTTCAGGAAACAACACAGCACAACGACTGCTTCACTGAATGTTCTTAATGACATTGTTGAAGCACTGGATGCTAAGGATTATTGTGCTGCACTTTTCTTAGACCTGTCTAAAGCTTTTGACACTGTGGATCATAACATCTTGTGTCATAAGCTCTCAGAAATCAGTTTCTCAGAACACACCATTGGTTGGTTCTCTAACTATCTCTCAGACCGGAGGCACTGTGTTCAACATAATGGTATTTCCTCTAGTTATTTAACAGTCAACAATGGTGTACCTCAAGGCTCAGTTTTAGGACCCACCCTCTTTACAATCTACATACGTAATGTAGGTAAAAACATCCCTGATGCATCCATACATTTCTGTGCTGATGACTCAGTTATTTATTGTCGAGCTAAAACAGTTGAAAAGGCTTTCCAGCTTTTGTAATCTGCATTTGACATCATCCAGACAGATTTGTTCCACCTCAAACTTGTCCTAAATACTGACAAAACCAAAGGGATGCTTTATTCAAATAGGAAGTTGGTCCCAGCAGTTCTTCCTCTGATTTCATCATCAAATGGTGTCCCAATTGAGTTTGTTGATTCCTATAAATATTTGGGTATCTTGGTCGACTCACATCTCTCTTTTAAGCTCCATGTCGAAAACTTGGTAAAGAAACTGAAAGTTAAACTGGGTTTCTTCTTCAGAAACAGATCCTGTCTAACTCTGAATGCTAGGAAACACCTTGTATCTGTGATTTTCCTTCCCTCCATTGATTACGGTGTTATTATTTATATGAACACTCCTACAAGCATCCTGCGGATGTTGGATGCTGTCTATCATGGTGCACTAAGATTCATAACTGGCTGTGATTATCGTACACATCACTGCACCCTGTATTCACTGGTTAACTGGACATCATTAACTTCACGCAGACTCTCACTGGTACATTTTCATCTTTAAATCACTTCTTGGTCTGCTGCCTTCATACATCTCTTCCTACATGTCTCTGCGTGAGTGCAGCTACAGCGTGCACTGTCAGGACATTATTACCTGCAGTGTTCCCTCAGTGCGGTCTGAACTAGGCAAAAGGGCCTTCTCCTATTCCGCTCCTGTTTCCTGGAATATCCTACAAAAAAGATTTGAAGCTCTCGACCGTGACCTCTTTAAGTGGCTTTAAGAATCTGTTGTACTCCTGACAAAGACCAATGCAGACATGTTCCTGTTTTTTTTAGTTTTCTACATTCGCCTTAGAATCTAGCTGTTTTTTGTTACTTTTCATTTTTGGCCATCCTATTTGTTAAAAAAAAAAAAGCTCTGTATGCCTTTTTATAACTGTCTACTGTTGTCGCTGTTGTCCATTGTTATCATCATTCTTTGTTGAAATCAGGTCTCTCTTGTAAATGAGTCCTCAAGGCTCAATGGGATCTACCTGTCTAAATAAAGGTTGAATGAAAACTGGTACAGATACCAGCTAATGTTTTGAGCTTCAAACTGCTGTGTTTTGAGGCGAGCTGTTCAAATCCCGTTTTTCTGCTGTGTTATACAGGCCACCCAAATATAATAAGGACTTCATGGCTGAACTCTCTGACATTTTAACTTGGATTCTGCTCAGATTTGATCGGGTTTTGATTCTGGGAAATTTCAATATACATGTCTGTTGCCCTGAAAAGCCGCTGACTCAGGACTTTCTAGATCTGATCCAGTCTCTGAATTTTGTACAGAATGTTGTAGGACCAAATCACCAGCATGGCCACACACTGGATTTAGTGTTAACCTATGGTTTATCTCTTTCCGAGTTAGGAATTGGGGTTGCGGTTTTCTCCGACCACAAACCCATTTCTTTCAACACTTCTTTTGTCAATTAGTCCAAACCCCCTCCCCCTCCAGCCAGGCCTTGTTGAATATTTAACCCTTCCACTGCTGCGCTCTTTTCCTCTGCTTTTACTAAAAACTCTCTCTCAGTCTCTGAATCCTCTTCCATCAACACCCATGAGCTAGTCACTGTTCATCAAGAGACCTGTGCTAAGGTTCTTGACCTAGTTGCACCATTAAAAATTAGGCATCCAAAGCGCACTCCACACCCTTGGATGAATGAGATCACTCACGCAGCCAAACATCAGTGCAGGAAAGCTGAACGTAAATGGAAGAAGGACAAACTTCACGTTTCTTTTATGCTAAAAACATGTTACAAAGAGTACCAGGCCACTGTTAAATCAGAAAAAAGAAGATATTTCTCCCAAATCATCGCCTCAAACAGCCACAGTCCCGCGTTCTTTTCAACACCATTAACTCCATTTTAACCGTGCTTCAGTCTGCCAACTGGGAGGCCTCTGCAGTTACATGTGACAACTTTGTCAGTTTCTTTGTTAAAAAGGTTGTGTTGATCGGGTCACTGATTCTTCACACCATAGCTGGCCCCTTCTGTCTTTGTCCCCTCCACATCAGTCTTTAACCAGTTTGAACCCATTTCCCTCTCATTTCTAAATGACGTCATTGGTCATATGAAACCCTCAGGTTCCCCTGCTGACCCCATCCCTGCATCGTTTTTTAAACAAGTCCTACCGGACCCTCTGTTCTTGACATTGTAAACAGCAGTATGGCTACAGGTGTAGTTCCTGATGCTTTTAAACATGCAGTGGTAACTCCTTTAATAAAAAAGCCCGGCCTTGACACTTAAACCTGCTCAAACTTCAAACCCATCTCCAAACTTGCCTTTCTTTCTAAGATCCTGGAGAAAATAGTTTTCACTCAATTAAATGAGTTATTGAGTGGAAATTCTATTCTTGAAATCTTTCAGTCTGGCTTTAAGAAATTACACAGCACTGAAACATCCTTAGTTAGGGTCTGCAACGACATTCTTCTGGCAAATGACTCTGGTCAGTCTGTAGTCCTGGTACTCCTTGACCTTACCGCTGCATTTGATACTGTGGACCACAGTATCCTTTTATCCCGACTAGAACACTGGGTTGGGATTACTGGTGCAGCGTTAGAATGGTTCCATTCATAATTGAGTGACAGGAGTTTCTTTGTTAATTTTGCTAACTATCTACTTCAGTGCCTCTTTCCTGTGGGGTCCCACAAAGCTCCATTCTTGGACCCCTTCTGTTTTCATTGTATCTCCTCCCCTTAAGGTCTATCCTGAGGAAACATGGTCTTTCCTTTCATTGTTATGCTGATGACTCTCAGATTTATCTGCTGTTAACACCTAACATCCATTTGCCCTTTGTTAAAATGTCTTGATGACATCAAGACTTGGATAGCTGCAAACTTTTTGAGTTTTAATGATCAGAAGACTGAGGTCATTTTGTTTAACCCTAACTCTGCCACTGTCACTGATCCTTCAAACCTGGACTTCCTTCAGCCATATCTAAAACAGTCTATTACCAATC